ATAACCGTGGTGTCCGGGCCAGCTTGCGCGCACCTCGACTAATTCCACGGGATACCTGCCACCTCCCACCAACAACAGGTACCAGGTAACTCTATCCACCAAGGCTTGAATAGATGGGAAGAAATCACCTAATATTTGCCTCCGCTGGAATTTGCCCTTTCTTTAATTGACATTTAATGTTGAGTCAAAAGAAACGTTATACTCTAACTTGGAAATCTTTAGACATTTAGATATTTATAAGAAATGCTTTCAAGGACGATAAAACTATGGGTAGTAATTGCGATGGGCAATTTGGAAATTGGTTTTGTAGGGGTGTTTTATACCCTTAAGGGCGAAACAGGGTAACAAACACGGTCCCATGGTCTAGTGGTCAGGACATTGGACTCTGAATCCAGTAACCCGAGTTCAAATCTCGGTGGGACCTTTACTTTTTGCAAAATTTGTACAGTAACTTTTTTGTCAAGTGCACAAAATTAAGTAACAAAATTAAGGCACATAAAGGGAATTACCCTCTTCTCCTCATCCCAAAAAGAAAAACAGAAACTCAATACTTTCTGATTTGCAACTCTATGAAGTTGTAGTGTAAGTGTAGTATTTGATCTCGAGCACAGATATGGATTAGATTTATTGACATGGTCTTATGCATAATGCTATAATGGCCACATTTCCAAAATAACCTAATACTCAAGATTTCAAAGCCACTAAAGTCAAACGCGGTTGATTGAAAGTAAACATAACTCTTTTTGCTTCAAAATGATCAGAAGCATTAAGCATAAACATGTTAGTTTTATGGTGTTTGGGCTTCTCCTAAATACCTGCTATATACCACCAGCACGAGTAGCGGATAATTCTGTCGAAAAGGAACAAGATAATTCTGCCAAAGAAGGAACCAGCCCAACATCTTTAAGAAAGCTTTGCTTGATAGGCGCTGCCTACTCACTCGAACAATGCTCAGAACACAAAAGTGTACAGTTCCACCCTCTTCTCCAATGCCGTGTCACAACCAACGCCCCGAAAAGCACGGACGAGCCAAATGTAAGGAAACTTGCACGTATGATTCTGGCTGGAGATCCCGGTATAAATGTATTAATATGTATAGGTTCCCATAATTCGAGACAGATAGAAAAAGATCACTGAGCATAGACAACGTGCTTTTCCACAATCATGCAGCAGTATGATTCATTCAAGTACTAATAATCCAATCTAAATCAATCTTAGAGAAATATTTCTAAAGTTTGCATTTATTTACCACAAATGTCACACACTAATGAACTAGAAATAAGATTAATATGAATTAGATACGAATAAAACATTAAAGTACAGATTTCTCAGCACCGATCATTCAACCAAGCCAATATGTCACTACGAACAATCTCAACATTTTCATCAGTCTCTCCAAACAACAAAGAATGCATCATACCCTCATAAATCTTCAATGTCTTGTCTTTGCTTTTAGCCAATTGATACAATTCCCTACTCACTTCTGGATCAGTTACAACATCAGCACTCCCATGTAAAATCAGGAATGGTAAATTCACATCACATAATTTGCTGCTAACATAATCTGTCACACGTAAAAGTTCAAGTACAGTACCTAATCTTGGTTTTCCAAAATACCTATTAGGATTCATCCCACCAATAATTTTCTTTTCTGGGACTTTTACAGATTTGTCCAATAAATCAGCTGTTGGTACAATAGCCAAAGTAGGTGCAAATCTTGCAAGAATAGTCAAGAATTGCGGAATTGGCCATCTTGGTCTAACTTTATCTGAAATTTTACACATGGGGGCTATCAAAATTGCACCATTAAACATACTAGGACTTTTTAAGTGAATCAAAAGGCAAATTGCACCACCCATTGACTCACCATATAAGAATTTAGGCAAATCTTGAAATTCAGGATTTTGGGTTAGGACAAATTTGAAAAAAGACAAACAATCATCAATAACAAAGTTAACATTAGGTACATAAGCTTTAAGACCTTGTGATTGGCCATGACCTTCAAGATCAAGGGCAAAACAGGCAAAACCATTTTTGGCTAAGTGAATTGGGGTTGCTTGAAATGTCCAACTGATATCATTTGCATAGCCATGTACCATAAAAATGATGCCACGTGGAGGGTTTTTTGCAGAGGGTAGCCATGATCTTGTGAATAGGGTTAGTTTTCTTTGTGAAGTGAAAAAAGATTTGGTAGATTTGATACCTTGGAGATTATAGTAATCTTGTTCTGTTGGCGTATTTCCCCAGTAATAGAGTTGGGTTTGAGGAGATTTGTTGTTTTGCTTTTCCTCCATTATAGGCAGATAGGGTTCTTGATCTTCCCTTTATGTGGAGGAAATCTCTGCTTGGTTTGTGAAAATACACAAAAAGGATGGGCCAATTTTTTTGTTCTCTTTCTTTTTCTTTTTCTCTTTAAATAAAGTCCTTGTTCTTTAATATATTCTTTTTCAAACAAGTAGTTGCACTTCAAAGACAAGAGTGAGTTGCTCTAGTGATGAGCACCCTCCACTTCCAACCAAGACGTTTGGGGAGTTCTTGGAGGGAGGGAACCAAGGGTCTATCGGAAACAGCCTCTCTGCCCTAGGGTAGGGGTAAGGTCTGCGTACAAACTACCCTCCCCAAACCTCACTAGTGAGATTATACTGGGTTGTTGTTGTTGTTGTAGTTGCACTTCAAAGGCAAATGCACGCAAAGAATAGGATGCCAGCGTTTCCGTCTCTAAGTGCAAAAATTACATTTTAATTTTTTGCATGCATTTAAGACCTAAGTTCAAATAATTTTTGTATGCACTTAAGATGTTTTTGTTAAAATGTTTAATTGATTTTTTTTTTCTCTATTTATTTTTTGAATTTTAACAATCTAACATACCATTCAACGTTCAAATCTATTCGAAATAAACTCAAATTTGAAAATTAAATTTCAAATATAATAAATAGCAAACTCCAGTCATTAATTTATAAAAAACAAAGGCTGAAGTGATTATTTGTGGCTTTGATTAAAGGCTCAAGTTTTTGACATTCAAAATTAGAAGTGAAAATAGCATGAGCTAGTCAGTTTTCCGACTAGTAATTGAAAAATAGCCAGCGTTTGCAAAATTATTGAAAAATATCAATTATTTTGCTGCAAACATGGAAAGTTCCAGCATAATATACTGGAGATTGATGCACCTGTGTATAAACTTCCGGCATATTATGCTGGAACTTCAGCACACGGAAAGTTCCAGCATAATATATTAGAGATTGGTGCACCCGTGTATGAACTTTCAGCATATTATGAGGGAACTCCAGCATACGGAAAGTTCCAGCATAATATACTGGAGATTGATGCACCTGTGTATAAACTTCCGGCATATTATGCTGGAACTTCAGCACACGGAAAGTTCCAGCATAATATATTAGAGATTGGTGCACCCGTGTATGAACTTTCAGCATATTATGAGGGAACTCCAGCATACGGAAAGTTCCAGCATAATATACTGGAGATTGGAGCACCTGTGTATGAACTTCCAGCATATTATGCTGGACCAGTATATTATGCTAGAAGTTCACATGTAAAAAATTCGAACTCCAGTATATTATGCCGGGATATTTTTTGAATTTTGAATAGTGTATTCGTTCAAGTTTATCTTTATGTCACGACCCCAAATTCCCTCCGTAGGATGTCGTGATTACACCTAATCTCTAAGATTAAGTAAGCCTATCAATTATGCGAAATACCCAGTAGCTTGCAATTTAAAATAGTTACAACTCCTAAAACCTAGTAGAAATAAGTTATAAGCTTCTAAAAGAAATACTAAGTGTCTCTATACATCAGAGTCTAAAGAGAATAAGGAGAACAACATAGTAAGAACAGAGAGTGACTCCTAGGTGTGCGGACGCTGGCAGATACACCTTGAAGTCTCCGCGTACGGCTAGCTCACTGATACCTCGTCTGATAGGAAGTACTTAGATCTGCACAGGAGGATGTGCAGAAGCGTAGTATGAGTACACCATAACGGTACCTAGTAAGTGCCAATCCTAACCTTGTTAGAGTAGTGACGAGGTCAGGTTAGGCCCTACTGAAAATAATAAAAAGACAGGGTGAAAGGTTTAACCATATAATAATAATGACAATGGAAGTAAATCAAGTAAGGGGTATGTCACAATTTAACTGCACAAAATAAGGGCAAATAATATATCACAGAAGAAAAACAGGAATTTACATATTTAGGGGGGAAAAAAACCATCAAGACAAGTACACCAATAGAAAAAATATATCAACAAGGGAACTTTCGAGGGACCGCCTCGTAGTCCCAAATCATAAATAAATTCACAATAACTCTTTTCCTTATATCAGCGTGGGAGCCTTCACATTTAATTTTAAAGAAATCATTTTCTCCGAAATAGCATCCCGCATTTTAGCCACCCTTATCACACCGCATGACTTCTAGTAGTTCCCCTACTAGCCACGCGTATCAAGCCCACCTTATTTCACTGCATGCGTTTCAACACCTAGACCTTATACCACCGCATGCGTATCAATATCACAATATATCATAATTCACACCTCAAGTGCCCAAATATGTCATCTTGCCAAATAAATCAACAACAATATTATTTTCCACAATAAGGAGCTCCGGCTCAATCACAATGTATACAAAAATCTCAATAAAATGTTCGAGAGTGAATAATTCAACAAAAATAATATCTCACAAATTTAACAATTTGCCTCAATACCAAGTTTTAAATGTCAAATACTTCATATTAATAATAATTAAATTAAGAAATTCAACCTTCAAATAATGAGCACAAAATAAAAGAAACGAAGCTTTAACTAAACATGTAAAGCAATTAGCAAGAAAAGGCAAGGTAATTTAAAAATATAAAAAATGGACCAATGATGATAAATATAACAGGATAAAATAATTTAATTAATATGTAACATATATATGCACAATTGTAAACTAGAATTTTCCATATTTAGCTCGTGCACATACTCGCCACCTCGTGTACACGGCTGTAACGACCTGACCGGTCGTTTGCTTTCTAGAATCTCGTTTCCCTAAATAAGACTTTTCGTACATGCTTTTACTGTTTTATGACTTGCGAGAATGGTTAGTTCGGGATTTGGAAGGGCTCGGGATGAAATCGGAACACTTGGTTCCTTAAGGTTGGCTTAAAAGGCCAAGTTTGACTTCGGTCAATATTTTGAGTAAACAACCTCAGAATCGGGATTTGACGGTTCCAATAGGTTCGTATGATGATTTTGAACTTGAGCGTATGTCCGAATCGGGTTTTGGATGACCCGGGAGCGTTTCGGCGCATAATAGTGAAAGTTAGTTCTTGAAGGATTTAAAAGTCCTTTAAATTTGGTTTGGAGCTGGTTTTGGTGATATCGAGGTCCAAATGGAATTCCGAGACTGGGAATAGTTTCGTAATGTCATTTAAGACTTGCACGTAAAATTTGGTGTCATTCCGAGTAGTTTAAGTACGTTTCGGCGTATTGGAAGTGAGTTGAAGAACTTGAAGTTCTTAAGTTTGATTCAATTGGTTTTGGGATGCGATTCTTAGTTTTAATGTTGTTTCGGGCGTTCAGAGAGTTCGAGCGAGTCCATTTTATGATTTCAAACTTGTTGGTATGTTCGGGCGGAACTCCGGGGGCCCCGAGTGTTAATTGGACGAGGCTCGGACCCAGATGAGAATTTGGAGCAGCAGCTGATGTACCAGATCTGTCAAAACTGCACCTGCGCTTGGTCAGCCGCATGTGCGAGCTCGTAGGTGCGGGCCAAGCCTCACAGAAGAGGCCAAAGGAGGGCAGCCCAGGTTCCGCAGATGCGGCCCATCCTCCGTAGAAGCGGGTACCCGTCTGCAGTAGCGGTCCTAGCCGGCCTAGTGAATTCCGCAAAAGCGGACCCTTGTCCGCAGAAGCGAGGGCGCAGGTGCGGCCCTATGACCGCAGGTGCGGAAACCGCTGGAGGCAGTGAGCCTCATTTATTACGGGGTAGGACCATTTTTATCATATTTTCTTCCACTCTTGGGCGATTTGAGAGCTTCTTAGGAGGGGATTTCGACTTAGCTTTGCGAGGTAAGTAATGTTTTCTAAATATGAGTTTAGTACATATATTATGGGTAGGTTTCCACATGAAAATTGGTAGAAATCATGGGTTGAGATGAAAAACCTAGGGTTTAATAAAAATGAGATTTTACCACAAAAATGATTATGAAACTTAGTGAAAATCATATATTATGTTCCTAAGGTTATAGGTAACAACTCTCTTCAAATATTTCTGGAATCGGGGCGTGTGGGTCCGAGGGTGAATTTTAGGAATCTTGCAATTTTGGTTGAGTAATCATTTTAATAGTGGAGATATGAACTTTTGAGCAATAGATTGATCAATTTATATTATGTTTGGCTAGTTCTGAGTTGTTTGGCATTAAATTTGGAGGTTTGAGCGCATTCTTGAATTGGGAAGTAAGCTTTGAGACGAGGTAAGTCTCTTTTCTAACCTTGTAAGAGGGAACTTACCCCACAGGTGAATTTAATTAATATGTGTTGTTATTTGTGGGGGAGTACGTAAGCACGAAGTGACAAGAGTCCGTACGTAACTACTATTCCTGTTTATGTCCGGGTAGTTTTAGGTTTACACCATACTTGTGGACACCGTTATTTGATCATAATTGTTAACTGTATCAAATGGAACTGAGTTGAGAATTTTTAAGGATTAAAAAGCTCCAAGTCGAATTGTCTTTATTTTGAAAAGAATTAAGGAAGAGTTATGATTTATTGATAAATTTTTATTTGACCGCGTCACATGTATGATTCGCGAACGAGGTAATAGATGTATCTATGGTTCGCGCCGTTCGACCCTCGGCAATGCACAATTTACATTTATGTTGGATCGGGCCGAACGTCCTTGATGGTATTCCTATGTGATAATAAAAACTGGATGTTCCTTTCATAATCGGTATAAATTCATTGTTTGTGTGATCATATATATTAAAGCAAGGAATTGATTCAAGCTCTTAAATATTTCTTAAGACTAGTTCAGTTATTTCTTGTTCTGAGTCTTATTGCTGTATATCATGCTTAATTAGAATTTCATATTATCATGTTATTGGCCCTAGTAAGTTTCAGAGTCGACCACTGTCACTACTTCTTCGAGGTTAGGCTAGATACTTACTGGGTACATATTATTTATGTACTCACGCTACACTTCTGTACTTAATTGTACAGGATCTGGGCAGGTGCATCTGGTTACCAGTATGGTTCGTAGATTTGATCCCCATCTCGAGACTTCACGGTGAGCTGTCTTCCGAGCCGTTCTGCAACAGCCGGAGTCTCCCTTTTGTTTTATTTTATTTCTGTCTATTTCATTTGAGACAGTAGGCTAGTGTTCTTTTGTATATTCTACT